GCTCCACTGCCAGCGGGTCGGGGGGAGCCAGGCCCAGCGCCCGGCCTGGGAGCTGAACCCAGCACCGAGGCACAGATCCCTGGGGACAAGGCAGGACCCAACGGGGTCCTGAGCCCCCGAGGCAGAGCTGGGGCAGGGGCTGAGCTCGGATGGTCTCCTGGGCCTGTGGGGGGGGCAGCAGGTGTGCTGGTCAGGGCCATTAGCACCCACAACAAAATGCCGCAAAAAGGTATTTCTCTTCTAACTGCGGTACAAGAACTAATATCTATGCTTGTAATATAGGACAGTTACTTAGAAGAAAGAACGCCCAAAAAATCACCAAACCATCAACACCATGACAAACCAAAGAATTACTGGAAAAAGCCTTTCACCTTTAAGACATTACTTTCATAAACCTGTACCACAATGCCAGGGCTGCATCAATTTGCCCATGGGAGCTATGGATTTTCCAGAGGGCTTGTGCTCATGCCTGGGAGTCCTTTTCTCAAGGAGCTGTGTCACCTCATAGTGGGAGGTGACTCCAAACTACTGTACCTACCTTTGACTTCCAATTTCTTCAGTGAAGTCTCCATTCTAGGCGATCTCTTCTGGCCCCTATTGTGATGTCAGGAGATTACTAAGCTGAAGGAAGAGCAGGAGTCAGCAAGAGGTGTGTGTCTCAGGCTCACGCTTTGTGATTCAGTATAAATAACTTGCAGAAGCCACCAGGTCATTGTCAATCGAACTTTGTACTGAAATGTCCCTCTTTTCTGGCACAGCTTTTCTTAGTGACTGCAATAATTGTTAATTAACTACAGAGAGGGGAATGTTTGGCCACATTAAAAAACACACTGAAGTACACTGACAAGTTTCCAGTGTTTCTGAGGAAACAGAAAGTTCACTGAACATTTCTGTTTATTCTGCTGGGTAAAAGGTAAAAGAGAAACAATGGAGTTGAGAGACAGGTAAGATGGAAGACTAAAGGATTTACTTAAAGACACAAAGGAATTACTTGGCCCATCTGCCTTAAATCATAAGGAAAGAAATTGGCTCATGAGAAAAATTTACAAAATAATAACTGAAGGATGAAAACAAAAGCAAGACTACTCCCAGGTCCTCTTAAGGCTTTTTCTTCACTAGTTCCCCCCTTTTCTCAGTTAAAAAAAATCAGCAAACTTTAAAAAGCTTTAAATCAGACATAATTATCACTTGGTGATTTCAGGGCCCTATGCCCCTCATATTGCCTGCCAATGTTGGCAGTTCAGTCTGTGAATTGTATTCACTATGTGTACCCCACATCACCTGCCCCCTTCCATAAATATATACAGGTGAAAAAACCCCAACTCTGTAAAAACTCACCTTCAGGATCTGAAGATCAAGTCTGCTCAGCAGTTACAAACGTACCCTCTTGAAGGCTGGTAGGTGAACTTAAAACTATTCCTTCCTCCCTCTACAGTTGTTAAAACAATTAAAACAATTGCACTGCTAAACAATGCGGACAGGACTAGTTGGACTTCCAAGTATGCTGTACTTGAAAGCCACAAAGAACATCTTGTAATCTAAAAGGAAGTGTTGTTTGATGTTTGGGTTTTTTTCCAAACCCTTCACCTCCTGCACCAGGTAGTTGCCTGTTCTCTTGTTTTCCATTTTTTGTCTCTTCACCCCATGAGAGAGTATGACATTATCTTCCACGAGACAA